TACTCTACTTTAACCTTCCTTGTTAAATTAACAATGCACGAACCATTGTAGAGAATAGAGCCACTACAGGATTATCGATAACGGAAGCGACACTTCAATACAACACGGGCTGGTGAAAGACCACCCTGCAAGTCTAACATCTGGGCATAACTACCAAGTCATATTGACCTTCCTTCCTCTTTCCCGTGATGCACCGCGAGGTTGTTTTAGTTGTTTTTTGACAAACCATTTCATTTAATATAAGTCAATAATAAGTAAATATATTTGCCTGGATGCTATTAGCAGTCGCATGTTTGACCAACTCGTTGTTCGAGTATTAAAAGAGTGCTTAAAAGTTTAGCTAAAGCGTAAAGCTCTTGCAGGTTACCGTGGTAGCCCGTAACTTAGCAACGGCGTTTGACGGGACTCGCGGGAGAATAAACAAGAGCAAAACAAACGGAGTGTTTTCCTGTTTACGTTTCCTGTGATATTTACTGAACATGGACGGACACAATTTGGGAAACGAAAGGCTCATAGTTCCAAATGACTTCACGTCATCAGCACTTTCAAGTAAGTCACCTGTTCTAGCTTCCAATTCAGCTAAATATAGAGTTTGATATGATCTTAGCGAGCTAACGTTAGCCTACTGTATAACTTCCTTAGACTTAAAGAGTGAGTACTTGTTGAGTGTGATTTATCAGCTTATGTTAGTGGATTATATTAACATAGAGGAACACGAAGCAAGGATATCTAAGTATGCGAGAAAAAACACATTATTTTATGTAATTTAGGTAGTATCCAGAAAGAGTTTATACCCCCATCGCATTTTACATCGAGGGTCCAGCCTGTCGTAGCAAACAGAAGCGCAAAGATCCAAGACCCATCGTATCCATTTCGTGGATAAACCCAAGTACAGCATCGTTACCATCAGAGGAGCATTCCAGTCCTGCCAACCCATGGCTCGCCATATCCCAGGCCCAGCAGGAAATCTTGGAGCTGAAGAGGGAAAATCAGAGGATCTTAATGTCACAAAGAAAAAACAGAGGAGTAGGGGTTGCTGTGGATCATCCTTCCGACCTTAGGCCAAGGTATCCAGCTGCATGTTCAAATACAGATATTTTAACAATATATTTTACAATTATGGTCAGTTGGATAGTAAATTAGGTACATGAATAACTACTCCCTCGAAATGCAGGTGTCCAGGAAAAGGTGACCAGTGGTCTAGATGGGAGTCAGGCTGGCACCCGGAGGCGGAGAAGCACAAGGCCGAAGCTGAGCGGTTGAAGGGGCAGGTGGAGGCCCTGAAGGAGACTGCAGAGAGACAAAGGGACGAATTGAGGGACAGAGACTACAAACTGAACAGGTAGGAGAAATGCTTATGTTGTTATGCAATCAAGTCTTTTTACAGTTTGGTCAGACATTCTTTACATAACACTTAGTGAATCACTTAGATGAATCATTTTGAACAAGCTGAACATGGTATAACCTTTGTTTGACAGACAGAGCCAGGAGTTGGAAGCGCTGTGCAAAGAGCTACATGAGGCTAATGTAGTGCTGGGTAAAATCAGGAAGGAACTCAGTGAAAGCAGTGCACAGAAGGAGAATATAAGATCACAGGTAAGGCTGTTTACTGACTAAGTTTCATCATGACACTGTTGTTGACAGAGATCACCTGGGAGTTACGGGTACCTCTAATTCTTTTCAGCAGTTTGTAGTCTGGTGTTATTGGACAAGCTTGTTATCTTTATAAGTGCTTATAGTCATCTGACAGTCTTGGTCTTGTAAGTTCAACATTAATTATTTTTTATTTATGAGGATTCTTCCATGTTTCACTTTTTCTATTTTGCAGCTTGAAAGACTGGAGGAAGAATCTTGTGAGGAAATTGCAAAGCTGAGAAGTACTTTAGAGAGGAGTAAAGAGGACTCCCGGGAGCTTGTCCTGAAAGCTGAAATGAGCAGGTTACAAGCTGAGGAGGAAGCCAAACAGCAGACTCTTAAATTATCAGAACAACTGGAGGGAATGCGCAAGAAGCATAAGGTCGAGGTGTGTGGCACAACCTCTGAAAGGAATTTTAAACTGTTTTAAACCTTTTGCATACTGATTCAAATGACTTCTGCTCAATACCATGCATGTGAGACCCCATATTAATGGGCCTCTGCTATGCTGTAATATTCTTTAGTAAAACAGGGAGTATGTAGCACAGTGCTTTACTGAAAATGATCTGTACTTCTGACATTCCCACTTCTTAATGGAAATCATTTGTATTCAGGTTAGAATTTATATCTTTCAAACCTTTCATTGTTTCTCTCTCTCATTACTTTCAGCTTCAACAGTCTAATGCTTACCACAGTGCAGAGCTGGATGCAGCAAGCATTACCAGCAGAGAACTACACGGCAAACTTCAATCAATGACCTCAGAGGTGCTTGAGCTGAAAAAAAATCTGGTGGTGATATCTACAGAGAGAGACGGGCTGAAAGAACATTTAAGGTGCAATATTCAGTCTAAAAAAAGAACCCAGCTACACATTTAACGCACTGTGCAGTCAGATTCTGTGATTTTCTTTTCGGGTTTGTTGTTTATTTTTCAGCCAAATGGGACAAGCGTTTGAAACACAATCAGCAACACTGCATAGCCTCAGAAATTACATTGGTCAGCTTGCCCCAGAGAAAGGAGAGAAGGAACGATTAAATGACGCTGTTGAGGTGGGGACCATATAAACAGTATTGATTACAATCATCCTACTGTAAAGTAATTGCTTTGGGGATGAAGCTTAAAACAATCTTCATTTCAGCATGTTTAAGCATAAACTGTTGGATAAATCAAGAGCTAGATCTATGAATGATCATGCATTGAACTATATAGCAAACCTTTCTTATAATGCTTTTGATTTTGTCAGAGGCTGAACAAAGAGAAAACATCTCTCCAGAAGACCACAGAGCTTTTGACTGTCAGGCTTCACTCTGTGAATGAGATACTGGCCCTCCAAGAAGAGAAAATGATTACGAAGGTCAGTCTTTTTTCTTTAGATAGCAATGGATGATACCAACCTATGCTGAAAACAAACCACCAGTTGTGCTGCTGCTTGCAGACTGAAACAATGATTTCTTCATTAGGCTTTAAACAAGATTTTCTTGTTTCCAATATATTTTTTTACAAACATCTAGGCTCTGTGATTGATTTATCCCTATCACAGAGTACTTGTGTTAAATGCATCTTAAAGAAGAACATGATTATAGCAGTGTGTTGACTTCATTCAAAGACTTAGATCTTTTTAGTCAGAAAACATCTGTTTTTATCAGTGATTCATGCTATGCTTCAGTGCTACGCTGTACTGCAATCTAAACCTTTTAATCAAATCTAGATAATAGCAACAAATGCATGTAACGGCTAACAGCTTATGATTGGAGTCGCTCGATGTTTTGATCAGAGAATAACAACTCCACCTCTCCAAAATGCTATTGGAAGTCCTTTCAATTAGGCCCACCAGGCTGAGTAATTAGTATATACACTGCAGTCTATCCTGTTACTAAACCAAAATAGCATTGACCATTGCTATCTGTAATCTGAATCCAGATGATACTCTCAAGTTGTTTCTTCTATGTTCATAAGAGGTGTCACATATGTTACTGTTTGTTGAATCTATACGTACATTTCTTGAATGGAACTGTGTAAGGATTTGAACTGACTGTGAGTTCTATCATATCTCTTTACCCGACAAAACATACACTTTTAAATATGTGTTAGTGTCTCCTGGCTATAAAATTATCAAGCTTTATCTTAGCTCTAAGAAACTTGAATCCACTCCATGGAGGATGATTATACCTAACATTTTCTAAACCATACCCTGGGGTTTCACTTCACCTGAGGTGCTTTTCTAAATGTTGTGTATTTACAGTCTGACCCTTCAGCACTTCAGCAATGTTTTTTCATAATTTGAATGTGTTATTTTAAAGTGCATTTTGCATAGTTCCCATAAATGCCAACCCTTTATAAACTTGGACATTCCTTGAGAAGTAATTGTCCTAGTTGACTGCTTGGATTCTGAAGTTCCTGTCAGACATTGTACTACTGTAGCTCAGTGATTAATTTAACAGCAGAGACTGTTTTTAAAACTACTGGCAGGATATTATATATGTGGAAGGCAGAAAAGGGACACATGGTTTTAAAGTGCTGGATTATGTCTTGGAAATGCCAAGGTTAATTAGTTAATTAGATATATACTACTGTACTATTATTCATACTCGTGTTTTGCATTTACTGCTGGAGTGTTTGACATATATGTGTTTATGTTTCAACAGACCTTGAAAGAACCACTTCTGAAGAATGGATCAGAAAGCCTTCAAGTGCTCCGGCTCTGGAGAGAGAAAGTGTTCAAGTTGTGTGTCCAGCTTCGCTCAAAGGACATTGAATCAAAAGGAGAGAAGAATGAACTTCTTTCAAACGTATGAAGACAGTCATCTGATGTTATGTCATAGCAAACTTATCATGCTCAATGTCTTTGAGTCTATGTTTAAAATGTGGTTCTGTCCTGGTCTCTGATTTAGGTAAGAGCCATGGAGCAGCAGCTCCAGCAGGAGCAGCACCGGACTAGTGTGCTCCAACACAGTGTAGATAACAGGAGAGCTGAGCTGGACCTGGAAAGAGTGGAAAAGGAGGTTAGTACCACAGCAAGCGATGTGATTTACGTGGGTGTCTTAATATTTGATGATGCAAGATAAATTTGGGGCTGCATAGGAGAGTGATAAATGCACGTTCATTTGTACCCCTGCACACAATGCTGACTCAATGAAAACTTTGCTTGGTCTCAGTCGTACTTGAGGTTATGAACAGCAGCTGGCTAGTAAGATATTCTTAGCACTGAGAATCACAGTGTTATTTGTGTATGATATGTTGTGTTTTTGACTTAGTTTGAATTTGTCTTTTCTCTTAGACACTGAAAATGGAATTGGCCCAGGCTCACAAGGAAAATTCTCAGCTGAAGTCACAGAATCAAAAAGCAGAAGCTGATCTTGAATCTGTTTCTGAAGCAGTGCAGAGGTAAAACAAAATACTCTGGATTCAAAATCAGAAGATGAATTCATTACTAAGGAAAACGGTTGGAAAGCAAATGTGTTCTTCACGTCAGTGTGGTAACTTCTCCAGTAAAATATATATATTCACCCTTTGGTTTTGCTTCCCAGGTTTACTTTAGCATTTGAAAGCAAGGTGGCAGAAATGGATGCAGCTCAAACAAGGCTCAACACTTTAACACAGAGGCTAACTTTTGCTAAGGGACGAGTGGAGACAATCCAAGGTGTGATTTTAATGGCCGTTAATTTGATGATTGCATGGGCCTCACTTTGGATATCATATCAGGTTAAAAAAGGACATCATGTTTTTGTTTTGACAGGTTTGGTCATGAGGAGGGTTGCTCTGCAGAAAGTTCAGCAGGCCAGTAAACATGCAGAACAGGCTGCTGACAGGTATGAGGTCATTTTTACACAACAAAATGCTCCTAATCAATCTCTACTGACCTGCAGGAAGTAAAGTCTTCTTTTAGTCCTGTTTGCCTGGTAATTCCCTCATGCATTTCATTACAAAAAATTTAAAGTGTGTACTTCAGAAGACAATCTTTAACCATCTTATTGCTAAAGGCTAGTCATGTCTTCAAATTGCACTTTTTGGCTGATCGACAGCCTCCAAATTCAAAATATTTTATTTATTACATCTAGTGAAAAATGTCAGGGATCTATTTTCATTTGTAAGCAGTTAACAGATGTTTTCAATTTCACAGTCCGCTTAATTAAAATTCCTAGTGAGATATTTTAGATTAACGATCTGATGATCTAACCATTTCAGCGCTAATCCTTGGAGTGGTAAATTTGATCCTACTATTACTATACTATTCTATTACTCTGTCCAAACAAAGGGATGTTTGCCAGGGCCATGTATAGAGTCTGAAACTGAGGAGAGAGAGAGAGAGAGAGTGGGGAATGACTTGCGGGAAAGGAGCCATAGGTTGGACTCGTACACCGGCCAGGCCTGCTGCGCGAACCCACTACCAGGCCCTTTCTGCTTCCTTTTGCACCTCCATTTTTCTCTACTATCTTGTCTGTGTGTGTCCTGCAGCATCTCAAACCTGCACGCTGAGCTCCGTTTGGTCTGTGAAGAGAGAGACAAACTCACATGGGAACTCAAAAGAACCCCGGAGCTCATTGAGAGAGCACTGGCTGACCTAAAAGAACAGCGTGAGCACACTTATATCTCTCAACGCCTCAACATGATAAGTTAATCTGCATGATGCCTCATTTATCTTTTTAACATCCTCCTCAGATGAAGGCAAAGTGCATCAGCAGCAGCAGGAGCTGGAGCAGAGCTGGATGGAGGTCCGTCAGGCTGTGGCAGGTAGACAGGAGGCTGAAGAGAACTTGCAGGAGATCCAGACCCAGCTGAAGGAGAGTGAAATCAACCTGGAGAAACTGCGCTTTGAGTTCCTCAACCAGCAGGAGCACAGCGAACGTGGTGAGGCAGCAGCTGTGGCATGACTGTTTTTCAACCTTGACTTATCCAGGGAAAGCTGGCTGAGCACCCCCGCTCTTTTCCAGAAATGCCCTACACATTTCACACCTGACCACCTCCTGCCTGCTCCACAGCTTTGCTGGAGCAGTGGGGGATTAAGTGACACACTCAAGAGCACCTTGACTGTACTGGTTCAGGGACAGTTACCGATACTAATATGATATTCCCAGTTTGGCCATTTAGGAAATATCTTACTTTTAAATCCACATTAATGGTATAACAGCACATTTTCTCATGACTGTTTAAAAACCGTTATTAGGCACATACAGTTTATGTACTTTAAACTGGAGTTGCTCTTTAATTTGCCAGTGGGAGGAATAATTGAAGCAAACAAAACGTTTTTCATATTGGCACCTCACTATTGTGTTTGTACACATTTTGAACTACTACCCTTAACTAATTGTTTGGCTTCATGGGGGCATTTCAAAAAAGTTAATACACAGCACTGAATCACTACACAAAAATGATCTGTAAAAAGTTCCTTCATTTTTAATAAAAAAATAATTTGATTTAATTATATTTGGACTCCTTTCAGTTACAGAGTACTATTAACATTCTGCAGTTGTGTTCAAATACTCATACTCCTCTTGAGCTCTATTTGATGTTACACTGATTCCTGAGGGAAATATCTGATTCTTAAGCTGCAGCAGATAGCGCTGCTCTTTTTTAAAACAGATATTTGCTCACTGTGTGTGCGTTCTATTTGGTGTTAGATGTTAAGAATGAAATTGTTTTTCAGCTTTTCATGGGTTACAGAAAACTGCTGCCATATATAATGTTTAAGTATTGTTATGCTTGTATAGTATTGATTAGTTCTGCTTTTCAAACATTTCATCTTCATTGTTTGATTTTGTATTCTTGAAATGCCAGGTCCTAACTGTATTCCTCTAGCTTTACTGTTTTACAATCTGGTCACATGGGTTTGATGTAAATGACACGAATCAAAACGATTAAATGTGAACTTTTGCTCACAGATGCAATAAAATCCGGTCTATGCCCTGGGGTACAGAAACAGCATTAGCATGTGCTTCTCATTGTGTGCGCTACTGCCCTGAAGAATCATGCATTTGTTTTTTCCTTTTCAGTGCTGCAGGAGAGAGTGTCTGAGATCAAGGACCACTGTGCTGAGAAGCTGAGAGAGATGGAGGAGCAGGTCAATACTGCCAGAAGAGAGCACACCAAAGCAGGTAGCAGGATTAGTAGCATGCTGTCTCAGCCCACAGTAGCTTAAAGCAGGGGGGTGGAGTCATATCTCTGATCTAATATGATTGTTTACTCTGTATATGGCTGCATTTCCCTGTGGTCTTCCATCCGACTGTGTTGTTTCTTGCAGTTATGACTTTGCGTCAGTTTGAAAAAGTGGCAGGAAAGAAACAGGATGAGATGAGAAAAAGCCACCACTATGAGTTTGAACATATAAAAAATAAAGTCCAGATTAAACAACCCAAGGAGACCATGAAAGACAAAAACCTGCTGCTGGTAAGACTTCGCAAAGCAAAAGAAAACTGTGAGAAAAATGTTGTTTCTGTCCTCATGATTACAACACATAACCTGATCCAGGTCTCTGTTGCTGAGAGAGAGAGTACGTCTGAGTATACAAGAGCACAGACAACAGCTGTACAAAAGTCTCAAGCACCAAGGGAACAACCTTCAGACATAAATACAGATGGTAGGTAGTGTCTTGACGCTTCATGCATAAGACTCTTATTTTCAAGTCCCCCAAAAATGCCACATCGATCTTAACGACGGTTTGTCTGCTTCTTGTCAGCGAGGCTCCTGTCTGTTTTAGAAGAGCTCCACAGTCTCAGTGCTGCAGTGGTTAACAGCTCTGAGGACTCTGCGGAGGAGGAGGGACAGAGTGACAGCGTGACAGCGTGGGACTGTCTACAGGCAGTCGGGCTGCTGAAACCTGATGATGAGTCACTTGAGCCAGCAAACACACCTTTAATTTGTACAAGAGGTGGGCAGTGATGATGTGTACAGAGCCAAAGAAATACACAGGAAGAAAAAGAATGGCTCTTTAGAACAGATACTGTTCATGAATTGAACAAAAACATTTCACCATTTCAGTACATCTGTGTTACTAGAGGACGGCTTTTATTTGAAGAGAATTTTGGAAGATATTAATGGACAAAGTATTTAATTCAATCAACGTTTTGGGCTGAACAAATAATACAAAAGCACTTCTTAACACAAGGGGAAGGAAAGAGATTTTTTTGTTTTTAATGCAATTATCAATAGTTTCTTCTTAGGAATCTGCTTTTCAATTTCTTGCTTTCTCTTAATTGCCTTACCACAGAAACTATGTAGACAGAACACTTTAACTTCTGACCCTTATTTTAATGATATCCCCTTTTAAAATTTGTCCTTGAATAGTCTGTGTTGTTCCCTTTAGGATTTAAAGTCAAACAATTACCAAATTCTATGGTGAAAAGGATCATTCACATTTTGAGTCACATCAAATATATATAAACATATTTTAAGATTTATTTTTGTAGGACAATGAGCAGAGTAGGAAATCGGCGATAGAGTGGGGAATGACACTCATAGCCTCTGTACAGAGGGTGTGACCTAACCGCTAGTCCATCAGTGCCCTGCATAAACAACATTTATTTTTGGGCTTTTTGTGCCTTTAATGTAGAGATAGGACAGTGGATAAAATCAGGAAGAGAGAAAGTGGGGAATGACATGCGGGAAAGGAGCCACAGGCTGGATTTGAACCTGGGCCGCCCGCCTGGAAGACTATAGCCTCCACACATGGGGCGTGTGCACTAACCACTGCGCCACCAGCGCTCCCAGAAACTATTTTTTTAATAACATAAAACCTTGCAGACTTCAATAAATATATATTTAAATATAAAGACTTTCAGTGATATTTAAAAATAAAAATCAAATGCAAATAGAAATGTTCTAAATAAAAGGAGATACTTTCTAGTGAAAAGAGTAGTAGTACTATTCCTAGTAGTTTGTGATGGTTCAAATATGCCTGTGCTTTCAAGAGACCTCTGTTGTAATTTTACAAACTAATAAAGTATTGTTGATTGCAAATCTATGGTGTTAAGCAGTATTTTGAGAAATAATGACGAAGCAATGCATGATTTGATATGAATCTCAATTTATTTCTAACTGCTGATTGTCTGTTATAAAAATGAAAGCCAAACATTTTTTTTTAAAATTAACATATATGTTAGCAGAGTTTTTGGATACAGCAGATATTAGAATAAAATGCCCATATGATTCTTGCATGACATTTTTTACAACTTTCTCATATTTATCTGACAAAGTTGAATTTGTTATGATGAAGTAGGTTTATATGCCATAGGGTTTCTATTTATATTACATCAGTACAAAGGGGAAGACCTATTTGATTTAATTTGGAAAGAAATCAATATTTTGTATTTAGAAGTTCTTATAGGCGTATTCTTTAAATCTTTTTTCGGGTTAATATATATGTATGGGAGGGGGACGTCGGTTTTGTGGTTAATTTGTAACAATGTTGTTTTGTTACCTGCTACTGGATGCTTTGAATTTCCCTCAATAGAAGAAATAAATAAAGTATCTATCTATCTATCTATCTATCTATCTATCTATATAGAGGTCAATCCAAAAATAACTGTGCAGTCATAGGATGGATGATGATAAACATCATGATGAACCAGATAATTGTGCTATTTGTCAAGTTGTCATGAGTGCTAATACATTTTGCAAGAGTTCAGCGTTTCAAGCCTCAAGGTAAAACTCATGGAGAGCCGAGTGGAAATTCTAATAAAGTCTAGACCAAAGAGCATCACACATATTGAGAGAAACACTCACTGCTTCACAGCAAGCAGAAGATGAACACATCAAATACATTCTTTACAGAATATCACTTGATTTTATCCAGTGCACTCTTGGATCAGTCTGATGATGTGAGTCTGCAAAACAGCATGCGAGCAAAACTTTTGAGGAATGTTCCTATTCTATCTTTGACTATCAGCCTTTTTGTGTAATAAGCTTTAGATCACGTCATGCATTTAACACAAATTCATGCCAGAAGTAGTATTTTTCAATATCTCGTTACTATTTATAATGTAGTAATAATAAAAAAAAAATGCATGTTATCCTGCTGAAAGAAACTGAATTTGAGATTAAGTCTTTGTCCTCATGTGCATTGAAATTCCAGCAGAGGGCGCTGTTGTCAAAGGTGAGGGCATCACCTATGAGAGCGCTGTGATTTCCAGGAGAATTTCAGACTTAACGTTTCAACGGCAGTCTTCATTTAATCATTATTGAAGGAAATACAAACATTATTGTTTCTTAAAAAGTCGTTGAGAGTGAAGGTTGATGCAATGTATTACCAAAACTTGGATTACCTATGAGATTTACATTCCAGTCCAAAACTGCTTGGGTACTATTTGTAACCTTTCCCGAACTAGTTGCACAAAATGTTAGGCGTCTAAATGGTTAATTGTATTTTGCACCCCCCCCCACCCCACCACACACACACCACACACACACACACACACACACACACACACACACACACACACACACACACACACCACACACACACACACACACACACACACACACACACACACACACACACACACACACACACACACACACACACACACACACACACACACACACACACACACACACACACACACACACACACACACACACACACACACCATTATGCCTTGACTGCAGGTCTTCAAGTCAGCCTTTTGCACTCTAAAAGTTAGTCTGTTTTAGCACCAGGCAGACCCAGAATCATCCTTTAAGCTGTCAGATAATGAAGAGTGGTTGTCCTTGTCATAAAAAAAGGTGACATCGCTTCAGAGTCCAGTTGCAGAGCTTTACACTTCTCCAGTTAATGCTTGGCATTGCACATCTTCATGTGAGGATTGTGTGCAGCAGTTCGTCCATGGAAACTTAATTCATGAAGCTCTTGGTTCACAGCTTGCGTGCTAATGTCTCTTCCAGAGGCGGTGTAGAACTCTATGCGATACGACAGTTGATAGGCTATTTTGACATGCTATGTGCATCAGCACTCTGTGTGTTAGTCTGTGCTACCACTTTGTGGCAAAGCTGTTTTTGCTTCTAGGCGCCCCACTTCACAATAATAGCACTTACAGTTGACAGGGGCAGATTTTGAAAAGTAGGAATTTAAGGAACTTGTAGAAAAAATGAAATCCTATGAAGTTGCCAAGTTGAAGGACACTGAGCTCTTTTTCGCCCTGCTTGGTTTTCTTAATGTTTGTGTTTTAAGGACTTAATGGCCACATTGTTGATTTTATGAACCTATTAGCAATGGGTGCTGCTAAAACACCTCGATTCAGAGATTAGTACTGTTGTCATGTCCACTGACTTCACCTAATAAAGTCAATGTGAACTTGTAGGTTGAGGAATCAATTTCTGAATCCATCTGAACTGGAAACAATAACAGAACAATCTAACGCTGTATTAACTTTATTTCACCACTAATGGGAAGCAACACAGGAACATGATTCTAGTGGGAAACAGGCAGTACAGCCTGAATTAAAGCTTTTCTGCCTCTTCATTGGCACTTCGCTGTAGTGAGATCTGCACAGCAGCCAGACACTGTGTTCAGCGTTGCAAACCAGAAGTGACGTGAAATATATTATAAAAAGCAATCAATAGGCTCCCCGACGATTTTAATCAACATTCAGAACAAACGGTGTGTAAAATTAGTGGTCCAGGCAAACAAGAAAGTTAATAAACTGTCTCCTCATGTCTGACTCCAAGCAGCACTCGAGCAGGATACTAACTTTGGATCTGGAGTCGCTACTTGTGTTATACTCCAAATCAGCTTTAAGTTTCCAGCTCTTTTGAAAAATCACATCAAATACATTAACTATACGATAAAACGTTCCTAAACGCTCCTGTAGGGAAATAAGTGTTGGAATCTATCCTGCTGTTCTTCAGAGGATATAATCAAACATACTGCACAGTCAAATAAAATATCTCAACAGCTCACAGCTTCCATGTACAGTTACAGGTACACATACACTCCTGTTTAAAGTTGAATGTTTGCCGAAATATTACCCCTGACCTTTAACCAGCTCTGAAATGCTGTCTTCACCGACTACTTTTTTTTTGTATTGATGGGTTTGTAACTCACTTTGATGAGTGTCAAATCAGAACATCTGCTGTCATCGGCCCTGCCCGTCATCAGCAGTCTGCGTCAACACCAAGTCTAATACTTTTTATTGAATATATGTCAAAAACAAAAAGCTCTTCATGCTGTTTGAGAAAGCGTTTCCTTTAATGGTATTGGTTTATATTTAAATAAATATTTATTGGACTTAATATTGAACCTGAACCTTGAATAAAATATTTTTGAAACAAAGAATGGAAACTAACTCCTGCAAATACAAACGAGAATACTGTATAGTCCACTGAAAGAAATTTGCGCCAGGGGTTGGGTGCTCTGTGCAAAAGATCTACACAAGCCTCTTATCACTAGATTCATCTTTGCTGTCTCTGCAAACCACATATCTGCATTTATAACAGCTTATAGGCAGAGTCAAACATGTCTGAGGTGTTGTGAAATCTCAATCCTTCGCTGCAAAATGTGTGTCACACCAAATGTCCCCAAAGTTAAGTCCTCTCAGAGGCGGTCCTCATTCAACTTTATAACATCCAGTGACAAGAATATGATAAAAAGAATTCCTAAAACTGTATACTTTTTTTATCACGGTATATTCTCTCACAGACCATAGCTGTTTTTCAATATGCAGTAAAATTATTATTATTTTGCTGCCCCTACTATTTTAAAACTCCTCTAAAATTACAAATTTCCGTCAGGAGCAATTACTCCTGTGTTTGCTGATCATATTAGAGGATTACATGCTACAAAAATAATCACATTCCTGGTCCTAGGATGAAGATGACATTTGGATATAGACAAATAACATTTTCAAACAAATATGTCTAACACAGAGCCTTGGCTCGTAATGCCCCATCTTTGCTAAGTTCTCATAGGCCGCAGGTCTGAGCAAACTTGGAGCAGAACCAAGGCTGATGTGATCCAGTGAGTCAGGGGTGTCGACCACCAGCGCTTCGTGCTGTATTAGAGGCTGCTGGACGGCTGTGTGCTGCTGTGGCAGGCCATGCTACAGGGGAGAGCAGCAGCCACAGAGAGCAGAGTGAGAAAAGGCAGCCAAGTTACACTATTTATAGACGCAGTTGTTTGGGGGGGCTCTGTGAGCTGAACTGTCCAGTCTTCAAACTACACCAACGCTTTCTGCTCTCTCCTACACTGTAGGTGTAGTTGACGACGATTTTAAACATGAGCAAGGGCATGAACTCTTAAAAAATATCAGAAGAAACTCAGACTTGAAAAGGTTTGCAAATCTGACGACATTTACTGCATGATTTGTCTTCATGGAAATATGTGCTGTTATGCCAGAGAAAATATTGAGGCAAATCATACACAAGCAGGTTTTCCTTTCTGATGTGTGCAGCAATCACACATTACCCCTAAGTATTCTCACACATTTCAATTTGTTTTACCATTTCAGATCAATAAAAAAGTAATAGCTTGAAGCCAGATCTCTTTCACTGAGAATGTTTAGAAGTAATATC